GGTTAATTGACTTCCTCGGCTCCCATCATAGCCTCCATTGCCTTTCCAAAACACATGGGTCATGTAGCTTTATGCTTGACAATACTGCATGACTCTTTACTGTATCCATTATCTGTCAATGAGTCAGATCTGAATTGCATAATGAGGCTGTAAGAGGAAAAATGGAGTGTACATTTTTTTTTTCAAGATAGGATTTCTCTGTAACTTTGAAGTCTTTCCTGGTACTTGCTCTGTAGGCCAGGCTGGCCTCGAACTCACAGTGATCCACCTGCCTCTGCCTCCTGAGTGCTGGTATTAAAGGCATGTTCCATCACTACCTGGCTATACTCTAACCTTTAGCGTAAGGCACTCAGTCCCCATGTTTGTGGAGATTTTCCCTATATACCAAATAATTCTCTAATAGATCCAAACTGGATGTACGATCCCTCAGTTTTGTTAGATAGCGTCAGTTCCCACAGTTAGGACTGAGCTCTGCAAGGTTGCTCTACTGCGCACACAGTTTTGCAAGTAATAGGATGTCATACTTTGTATGGACTGACTACAAACTAGAGCTTTCATGACCCCTTCTTTGAGTTCAACTAATTTGCTAGGCTGACTTGTAGAACTTGGAGGAGCACTTAACGTTTACAGGTTTATTAGAAGGGCATTGTTAAAAACGCAAAAGTAAGTTAAGAGGTGACTAGGGCTAGGTAATGGAGGGCACAGCTCTCATGACTTCTTTGAGTTTACACAGGGTCAACACCTCTACTTGTTCAGCATCCTAAAAGGCCTCAAGTGTTGTTCAAGAGTTTATAGAGCTTAATCCCTGCCCCTTAGCCTACTTCTCTGGAAGTTAGCAATGGGGCTGAAAGTTGTATTCTAAATATTTTGGTAAATTCATTTTTACAATGACCGGGGCCATTCTGAAGTCTTTAGGGGCCTTTATTAAACAAAAGACAGCCTCAGTCACTTAGAAAATCCTAAAGGTTTTAGGAATTAAGTGACTGAGATAAGGGCAAAAATAAATTATCATCTGTCCTTCTTTTCCGTTAGTTCTATGTGTATGGATTCAACCAACTGGAGATTAAACATTCTTGAAAGCTGCAGGGCTAATGGCCCATACCTTTAATCCTAGCATTCAGGAGGCCTGGTGGGCAGTTCTCTGTGAGTTTGAGATCTATCTGTTCTACACAGTAATTTCCAGGATAGCCAGGACTACAAAGAAAGACCCTACCTCAAAAACAAACAAACAGAAAAGATTCTTGGAAGTTGTAGCTATAACTGAGTTAGTTGGTAGAATGCTCACCAAGAGTCTGAGCTGAGTTTGATCTCAGCACTATGTAAACCAGCTCATCTTCCAGCTCTTTAGCTCAAGGCTAGCCTGGGCTACTGAAGGCGTAAGTCACAAACAATGCCACACCAGTTTGGAATTATGATTAATAGGGTGGTATTTATTTAAAGGGGAAAAAACTTACAGATAACCATCCCAGACAACAGCCCTCTGCACAATCAGAAGAAGTCTAGTCACCGGAACTGGAGCAGGAAGCAAAGAGAGCCAGAAGGGAAGTAGCCCCTTTTTTAAAGGGAGAGAGACCACGCCCCAATGGGCTGGTATCTCATCTCAGCAGCTATTGGCTGCTCTTAACCACTGAGCCATCTCTCCAGCCTTGCCTGTACAACTTTTATACCAGAAGGGGGCATCAGATTCCATTGTAGACATCAGTCACCATGTGGTTGCTGGGAACTCATGACCTCTGGAAGAGCAGCCAGTGCTCTTAACCGTCTCTCCAGCCCCTGCTGATTGACTGCTGATTGAACTCTTTACATTTGTAATCTTATCTTAAAATGTTTTCATTAATTAATTAATTTTTTGTTTTCGAGACAGGGTTTCCCTGTAGTTTTAGAGCCTATCCTGGAACTAGCTCTTGTAGACCAGGCTGGTCTCAAACTCAAAGAGATCTGCCTGCCTCTGCCTCCTGAGTGCTGCGATTAAAGGTGTGTGCTACCACCGCCTGGCTATCATAAATTTAAAATCTACTAATTTGACTTACATGTGAGCTTCTTGAGTAAGTTTTTTTTTCTTTTTCTTCTTATTCACACCCCCCCCCCCCACACACACACAGGGTTTCTCTGTGTAACAGCTCTGACTGGAACTCATTCTGTAGACCAGGCTGGCCTTGAACCAATGAAAGCAACAGATAAGATACAAGACCCACCTCCATCATTTCCCCTTTTTCTGTTTAAACAAAAAAGAAAGGCCTGGAAGATTGAGAGAGAACTGACTACCATAGTTGTCTTCTGACTTCCACAGGAGTTTCTAGCATACTCATACACACCCCTCTAATAAATAAGTAAATAAATAAATATATATATTTTTAAAGAGAATAAAAGTTTTGGAATCAAATTGCGCCATCATTGTCTAGCTGTATAATTTTGAACTAAATAACCTCACCAATTCTCTACTTCTGTATCTGAAAAACAAAGGAAATGCTGATAATTATTTTGAGAATCGATTTATGAAAATGCATAAAACAGAATAATGCTTACATATTCTGTTTATTTTGCTATTATTTCTCTTAATTCGTTCACTGGCAAATACTGTCTCATTGTTTATTAGGCATTGCATAAGGTACCAGGACAGTGTGTGTTCCCTGTAGTCCTCAGCTAGTCCCGGCATTTACTGGGCACACAGACGCCATCTGAGCAGTTGCTCTAGTGGTGGTGAAGAATTACTGTTGTCATTAAGTCAAAGTTGCTCCACCCATATATTTTTATTGTGTTAACTTTATTAAATAGTTGGATTAATTGTGTAAGTATAAAAGAGAGACAGTACACTGCTCTAGAGTATGAGAAATGAGCTCATTCACTTATCACCTACAGTGATAGAAATGTATAGACAAATCCTAGAAAATTTTCCACTGGCCATGTTTTGATTGCTCAGTAAAGAATTAACAGTTTATTCAAACCTGTATTTGCTTTTCTATTTTAAAGCCGGGTAATTCAGGCTAAGTGGTGGTGCAAGCCTATAACTCTGGCATTCTGGAGGCAGAAGTTCAGGGCTAGTTTAGGCAACTCATTGAGACTACCTTAAGTTGGAAAGTGAAATAAAAGGCTGGAGAGGATTTATCTTAGTGCTAAAGTACTTGACTAGCATGTATAAGATAGTTGGTTCAGTCCCCAGTACTGCTAAACAAACACACAAACAAAAAATATTGAGTGAACCTGGGCAGAGGTGGTGCATGCTGTTGAATTCCAGCACTCAGAAGGCAGAGGCAGATGGATCTCTATGAGTTCGAGGTCAGCCTGGCCAGGTGATTTTGATAGCAAGGACAAAGTGTTCTAGTATAATACAAATATTTTAGAGGCGCATTCTAGTAGTATCTTTTGCTTATATATGATTGAAATGTCTTTGATGTGATGTAAATGTTACAAGAAGCTGGGCACAGTAGTCCATACCTGCAGTCCCACAGTTTGGAGACTGAGGCAGGATTGATAGCTTGTCTTTAAAATGTGATAGGCAACGAGTCTTTTCGTGTTAATTTTGTTCTTTTATGGTGTTAGGGATAGAATCACAAGCTTCATGCATGCTAGCAAGTTCCATGCTCACTTTGGTGTATTTCCAGCTGTGGAAATGGGGTCTTTGAGGTATTGACAACAAACTGATTAATTAAAGCCTTGTACTTTTTCTGTGACTGAGGTGAGGAAATGGTTGTTATTTGATTGTCAATGTGGTAACCCACACTGATAACTCAAATTGAAAACAAGCAAACAAAAAAATTACGGGCCTGTAATCCCAACACTCAAGAATCTGAGGCAGGAGAATGAAGATTTTAAGGCCATCCTGGCCCAACAAAACCTTGTTTCCCCAAAGCAAACAAAGATGTTAAATTTTTAGACGGGCCTGACTGCATTTTTATTTTAAGTGGACAAATTACTTTGGAAACTTGTATCAATCTTTTTCTTCAGTCCAATTTCTAGCATCCTGTGTGTCCCTGCTGTTTTATTTTTACGAGCTAGCTTCAAAGATTGTCTACCCTCATTGTCTCATTCTTCATTTACCCTCTGTAAAGGTTTCTGTCCTTTCCAACCCCTAATGAGTGTCTAATTGTTTACACGGCAGCCTTTGCTTTGTGTCTGTGTGTGTGAGCGCACGCATGTGTGTGTGCATGCCTACCATGCTCACTGTGCAGAATCCCACCAGAAGTGTGAGCAGTCATCCTGTCTCCACCTCCTTGTGCATGCACAGCAAGCATTCTTCTCACTGAGGGCTTCTGAGCTCATGGGTCAGCTTCTCCATGGAATTTGTCATTTTCTTCCTGCCAGGGCGTTCTGTATTTTCTTTTTTGAAGAACTCTTAATTTTGGTCATGCTGATTTATATTTTAGGTTGTAGATTTTAAAGTTTCTTCTTTCTTTCACAGGGCTTTTTAATTTTTGTCTTCTGAGATAGTCTCACCATTTAGCCAGTCAGGAGGACTACTGTCAGGGGGACAGTAGTAATAGTTTTGGGAATCAGGACATAGTCCCAGATTTCTGTTTTTCTCATTCCTTCTATCCCAGCTAGTCTTGAATTTCATGTGTTAAAATTGTGTTGAAAAGCACAAGGCTGATCCAAATCAGTGAGACCAAGAACAATCATGTAATTTGCTGCAGTAATATAATTAGTATATGTCAGAATATGTGTACAGTTCCGTGTTTGTATGTCTTACATAGTTCTTACTGGATCTGCTCAGGTTAATCTTAAGTCACTTTTTAAATATTTTCTTCTAAGTCACTTTTAGTTACTCTCTTGTGTATTTCTGTACTCATTTAGCATTTATTTGAGTACGCAGGAGTAGAGCAAGACCTAGCAATGGGTGGATAAAAATAAAAAATATAAATGTTCTGTTCCTTATGGTCTCAAGATGCATTTTGTATAGTTTATATTGTCATAAAGTACTATACAGAAATCCAGTTTGTTAACTTTTTAAAAGAGAAACCATAGTACATCTTTCCCACTGTTTTCTTTCTCTTTTCATCCAGGGAAAGACCATGTTTGTAGATTTATTGGCTGTGGGAGAAATGATCGTTTCAACTATGTGGTCATGCAGTTGCAGGTATGTTGCTTTGAAAAGTGTGTCTTAAAATCTTTTAGTTTTCCCAGGCAGTGGTGGTGCACACCTTTAACCCCAGCACTCAGGAGGCAGAGGCAGACAGAGCTCTTGAGTTTGAGGCCAGCCTGCTCTACAGAGGGAGTTTCAGAAAAGACTGTTACACAGAGAAACCTTGTCTCAAAAACAAAAATCTTTTAGTTTTGATCAAAATACACAATTACAGTGAATCTACATAAAAATGACAGCATTCTTGTTATTATGTTCAATGGCTATACACTGTGTACATGGAGATTTATTTAGACTTGGTATAGATTTTCCAAAAAATGAAATGTTCATCTATTTTAGTTTTTCTGTACCTTTGTTGGTTATCATTTTTTTTTCCCATAGCGTTTAACCTTACAATAGATTGTATAACATAATGTGATCCTTGCCTTTCTCTTTACATATTTGCTACCTCAAGCATTTCAAATCTCTGCTCATGCTCTCAAGTACCAGCCACTACGTTTAGATTGTAATCATTAGTTGGAGTAAAAGATGAATGTTTGTCCTCTTCCCTTTCTGTCAGCATACTGTTCCTTCTCTTCTAGATGGGAGTAGAGTTGGGCTGACCAGGTAGCAGTTGATAAAGAAAATGCAGGAGTAACTGTTACAGAAGGGAGAGTCAGGACACCATCTACTTCCTGGATGAACACCACAGTGCAGTCACCTTGAAGCTGAAAACCATGGTTCACTGCCTAATTTTCACTTCTCAACAGTTTCTTTTCATCTGTAGCAGACTTTATTTTGGACATTTGGTTTCTTTATTTCCTTGTATGTTATTGACCTAAATGTTTTCTTCTTTTCAGAAGGCTTTTTTTTTTCTCAAGTATCCTTCAATATTTGACTTTGACCTAAAGATGTTACCCTTTCTGTAAACTGTAGCTGTTTTTGTCATTTGTCTTTTTAAAGTGTGGTCTCACTGAGTACCACAAGATGATCATGATGTAGCTAAGCCTGGCCTTAACCTCAGGATCCCCCTATCTTACCTCCCTGGTTTTTAGAATTATAGCTGTGAATGGGCAGTGGCACACGCCTTTAATCCCAGCACTCAGGAGGCAGAGGCAGGCTAATCTCTGTGAGTTCGAGGCCAGCCTGGTCTACAGGAGCGAGTTCCAGGACAGGTTCCAAAGCTACAGAGAAACCATGTCTCGAAAAACAAAAACAAAAAAACAAAAAACAAACAAAAAAAGATTATAACAGTGTGCTACCATGGTGGACTTAGTCTTTAAAATTAATAAATTATGGGTTAGAGGTGTGTGTGTGTATATGTGTGTGTGTAGGTCAGAGGACAACTTCTGGAAATTGGGTCTGTCCTACTGTGTGAGTCCCCAGGTTTGAACTTAGGTGTCAGACTAGGCAGCAAGTGCCTTTGCCCTAAAGTCTTTCAGATTTACATGATTCACCATCTCAAGTTAGCATAATTTGTTGAAGTGATTACCTTTACATTTTTCAGTTCATTAATGTGCTCCCTGTTTTCTCTCAGATCGACCACAACATGAAGTATATAGTTTTGCCTGAGGAAAAAAAGTGACATCAAACATTCATTTTCAGATTTTCTTTTTGTTTATCTCGTTCTTTTTTCTTTCTTTCTTTTTTTTTTTTTCTTTCTTTCTTTCTTTCTTTCTTTCTTTCTTTCTTTCTTTCTTTCTTTCCAGTTGATTCCAATTGAGTTGTTCTTATGAAAGTAGTGGTTGCTTTAAATTAAAGCTTGGTATTATCTAGGATGTAGTTTTGTTCGTTTACAACAACCCTGGCTGCCCTGGAGCTGGCTTTGGGGACCAGGCTGGCTGCTTTGATAGCCGAAAGTTTGGTGCTTCTCATTTGTGAGGCCTGAGCTGTGATGCCAATGACAGGGAGGCTCGGAAGGAGGCTAGGAAGGTGAAAGAATCTGAGAAGTTTTAAGCATGTATAACATGCATTATTCACTAGCACACAGACTGACAAGCAGGCCGATGCTGACAGGCAAAGGGCGTAGCACACAGGTTGCACAGGCAAAGGCAATGACAAGGATGCTTGTCTCTAAACTCAAGGTCATATTGATAGAAAAAAAATCAGACAAAAAGATGGCATTTTGCCAGAAATAGTTATAAAAGAGTTACATCACTACTTACTCTTTGTTGCTCAGATACCCTGTACCAGCTACCTCCCCGGATGTATAGTTCATGTTTTAGCTGACTTATGCTAGGTATCCACCATCACCTAGCTGTTTAAACTTTTGTTGGCCCTTATGGTCTTCTGTTTCCTATAAGATTTCCTAATAATAACAGTCCTTAGGATTTGTTGAGTACAAGACAGCATTCCAGAAACTTCATATGGATTTTATTTAGTCTTCATAAAATTATATGAGTTATTATTAGTTTTTTTTTATTTTAAAAAAACTGGTGTAGGAAAACTAAGTAACTTGTGGGGAGGGGTGTTGGCTAGTAATGAGGAATGGCGCTATGGATATTTGTGTTGGTTGGTTTTAATTCGACACAACCTAGAACTGCCTGGGAAGGGGACTCAATAAGGAATTGTCCAGATCTGGTTAGCTGGTAGGTACAGCAATGGGGGAATGCCTTGATTTTTAGTTGATATAGGAAGATCCCGACTTTTGCTTCTGAACACTGGAAAAGAAAAGAATGCTAGCTGAGGGCAAACAAGCAAGAATGTATTTATATTGCTCTTGACTGTAGATGAAATGTGACTAACTGCTTGAGTTGCTGTCTTGACTTTCCCCAAAAATGATGGACTGTAACTTGAAATTGTAAGCCATATAAATCATTTCTTCCCTTACATTGCTTTCTGTTAAGGAGTTTATCATAGTAACATAAATGGAACTAGAAGAGATATCTATATTTTTTTAAATATATATATATATTTATTTATTTATTTATTATGTATACAACATTCTGTCTGTGTGTATGCCTGCAGGCCAGAAGAGGGCACCAAACCCCATTACAGATGGTTGTGAGCCACCATGTGGTTGCTGGGAATTGAACTCAGGACCTTTGGAAGAGCAGGCAATGCTTTTAACCTCTGAGCCATCTCTCCAGCCCTATATTTCATATTTTTTAAAATACATCTAAGGGGCTGATAATGTAGCGTGGTGGTTTGACTAGCATGCATGAAGCTCTTGCTCTGGATTCACTTCCCATCATTGCATAAACTTGGCATGGTGGTGCACACTGGTAATCTCAGAAATTGTAGTTGAAGGCAAGATCGGTTCATTGTCATCCTTGGTTGCAAAGGAAGTTTGAGGTTAGCCTACGGTACATGAGACCCCCTCCCCCCCCCACCTCAGAGAAAAAAGAAAAGGAAGGAAGGAAAAGAAAAGGAAAGAAAGAAAAAGTCAAATCTATATGTTTTAGAATAGCAAGGGCAAATCAAAACATGATGACTTAGATATATGATTACTAACAGCATGCCTATTCTTAGAATTCGAGAGACTTGACTCAGTGGTTAAAAGCTCTTGCTACTTTTCCAGAGGGCTGGAGTTGAGATTGCAGCACCCCTGTTGAGCAGCTCACAGCCGCCTTTAACTCCAGTTCTAGGTGATCAGATGTTCTCTTCTGGTTTCTGAGGGCACCCACGGTCATGTACACAAAGAGGAATACATACATATAATTCTTTGAGTTAGAAGATCACAACTTAGGCAAGAACCTTACTATTTCAGGCACAGCATTTTATAGTATGGTAATATAGTGGATGTTTCGAGTCATATCACAATATTAGGACTGTATTTTAAAGTGATTATCCTATTCCATAGGGTCGGAATCTGGCAGATCTTCGACGTAGCCAGTCCCGGGGCACATTCACCATCAGCACTACTCTTCGGCTTGGGAAACAGATTCTGGAGTCTATTGAAAGCATCCATTCTGTGGGATTCCTCCACAGAGACATCAAACCGGTAGGGGCCTTGTCTGTTCTAAGCACAGAAGGCTATTGTTTGGTACTTCTAATGTCAAAGACAGAATGTTTGATAAATGTAGGGTTCTTTGTATTTGTTGTCATTAAATACAAAAAAAGTCTATATTTCTGTAATGCCTTAAGAACAAAAATATTTTACCCTTTATTTTATTTTAGTTTTGTTTTTAAAGTGGTAATTGAAAACTTCTTATTTTCATTAGCTTTTTTTCATACCATAAAATATTGTTTGCCAGCTAAATAAAAATTCTATGCTTGGGGCTGGAAGATGACTCAGTCAGAAAAGTACTTGAGGACTTGAGTGTTACATTTGGTCCCTGGAGCCTATGTTAAAAGAAAAATGGGTATGGTGGTACACACTTGTAATCGCAGGGCTGGACAAGTGAGATAGAAGAATCTCTAGGGCTCGCTGCCAGCGAACCCCAGCCTGCTTGAGGAACAACACCTGAGGCTGTGCTCTGGTCCCCACAACCACCTCACAGACAAGTTTGTGTCTGCCAATTTTTAGATACATTAGCATTGCTAATTATTCAACTCCACTTAAAAATCATTAGTTTGAATTGTGTGTCTCCTGATACCAGTTGTTCATTTTCTCAAGTCACCAAATGCATTCACTAGAATAATCAACTATGAAAGACCTTAATCTCCTAAGAACTACTTTGGAAATAAAATTTATTTTTCCTTTTTTTTGTTCTGTTTTGTTTTTCATAGAAGTCATTGTTTCCATTATTGAAATGTGCTTTCTTTTTTATCTGATATTTTATTTGTCATAAGGAAAGATGACCCATTTCTGAGCTCATATTTATTGATATTGGTGCATTTGAAAGTATAGCCATCTGTTATTACATCATTTCTAAAATTAGTTTACATGAAAATGTCAACTAAGTTTCTTCAGAGTGGGTTCTTCCAGAGTTAGGACCACTGTGAAGCTGGAAACTGGCTTTCCGTTATTAGTACATTTAAATAAGGCAGTATGACTAAGTGATTTGTTTTAGCTCAGTTATTACACGGAGAGATTGAATTTATAAAGGTTCACAGGTAGGCACATAACTTCTCCCAGCTCAGCCTGTCTGGGCGCTGGGACCGAATCCTTTGGGCAACCAAGCGGGCGGGCGGGAGGTCCTTTGTTTCAATAGCCTGCCTGCAGCAACTTTACGAGCTACCCAACCAGCACAGAGATCTGATCTTGGCACCAGGAGAGCCATCAGTGGGGTGAGCTTCTGACCCGAATTGGAAAGGAAGAAGTTAAACTTTCGTTATTTGCAGATGATATGATAGTATACATAAGCGACCCCAAAAACTCCACCAAAGAACTCCTACAGCTGATAAACACCTTTAGTAATGTGGCAGGATACAAGATCAACTCCAAAACATCAGTCGCCCTCCTATACACAAAGGATATGGAAGCAGAGAGGGAAATCAGAGAAGCATCACCTTTCACGACAGCCACAAAGAGCATAAAATATCTTGGGGTAACCCTGACCAAGGAAGTGAAA